CGGGCACTTGGCGAGACCTCATCTCTACAATAAATCAAAAATGAGCCGGGCATGGTAGCGTGTGCCTGTAGTTCCAGCTACTTGGAAGGCTGAGGCGGAAGGATCGCCGGAGCCCAGCAGGTCGAGGCTGTGGTGGCCAGGAGTGGCCACTGCACTCCAGTCTGGGCGACAGAGTGAGACTCCAACTCAAAAAATAAAAAAAAAAAAAAACCTTTACCACCTTTCTGTGTCAGATTCAGAAAACAAGTTCTTGGATACAATATTGTAGCAGACTTTTGTCTTTTTGTTGTTGTTGTTGTTGTTGCTTGCCCAGCAATGAATTACCTTCTAACATTTGTAGAGTTTCCAATGTTATGAATCTTGGTGGGAAGCAAAGCAAGCCTTTTATGTTCAAAAATGAAAATGTCAGATACTCAGTTTTCCTGATCTCTCCCATAACCAGAGTTCAGGTACAAAACCAAGGCTCTGCTGTGTCTGTGCCCTCCACATACTTGGAATTGGGAACTGGAAATCTGAAGAAATAGAGACTTTGAGGAACTTTCTGGAAGCATGATGGTAGTTGAATAATGACTGCATTACTGGTTTCAGTGTCCAGGGCTTCTGGGTCAATGGGTAGACTACAGTGTTTCTACAGTGGTGTTCCCACTAGACTGCTCTGACACATAATTTTGACTATTACCTCGGCTACATAGCCCTGATCTGATTCTCTAGACTTTCCAGCCATTTTCAGAAGTCCAATATCCTTTCTTACTGTGGGAAAATACACATAACACATAAATTGCTATCTTACCAATTTTTAAAGGTACAGTTTAGTGTTATTAAATATATTCTTAATGTTGTACAATCATTAAGACCGTATGGAGTTCTTCTCCATAACTCTTTTCTTCTTGTAAAAGTGGAACTCTGTACCCATTAAACAATAACTCCTCAATCCCCCTCTCCTCAGCCCTGGCGACCACCATTTTGCTTTCTGTCTCTATGAATTTGACTACTCTATGTGTCTCGTATAATTATAATCATACAGTATCCATTTTTTGGTGACTGGCATATTTCATTTAGCATAATGTTCATCCATGTTGTAGCATATGTCAGAATTTCCTTCCTTTTGAAGGCTGAATAGTAATGCATTGTGTGTATATATTCCATTGTGTTTGTGTATTTTGCTTCTATTCATTCAGTGGATAGTTGGGTTGCTTCCATGTTTCAGCTATTATGAATAAGGCTGCTGTGAACATGGGTATACAAACATCTCTTGGAGACTTTGCTTTTGATTCTTTTTGGGTATACACCCAGAAATAAAATTGCTGGCTCATAGGGTAATTTTACTTTTTTAATTTTGGTGGGAACCCCATACCCTTTTCTAGAGCAACTGCACCATTTTACATGTCTACCAATGGGGGTCCAACAGCTTTCCTATAAATCCTTTATGATCAAATCAGCCAGGAGTAGATTCTGACTGGTACACGTCTTTCTCTTCTTGGTGACTTATTAGTTTGTTTTGCTGAAATACTCCAGTAGCGTCTAAAGAAAAAATAAATGAGAAATATATTTTTTTGAGTTCTTGCTGTTCTGAAAATTTTTAAACTCACACTTGATTTATAGTTTGGCTGACTATAAAACTCTAAGTTGAAAATAATTTTCCTTGTGATTTTGTCTTATTGCCTTCTCCCTTTTAGTGAGCTTACTTTTCCGTGTTGAGAAATTCGCTGTGCTAATGCCTCGTCCTTAGGTCCCTAGAATATCATCTGATCTTGCTTTTTCCTGTCTGGCAATTTTTAGCATATTTTGTTTTTGCAGCCATCATATTGGCTACTTAGTTTACATTTTATTCCAGAGACTCTCTTGCCCTTCAGTCCTGGGCTTTTTGTTGTTGACCTTAGCTGTAGAAGGTTGGAAAAATCTTACAATGTAGTTCATGACATGTTATCATCATTTGTTCAAAAGACACTTGTGTTTATTTACCCTGCTGTGTTCTTAATACTTCTGGTCTCCCGAGAACAAGACGTGTTCACATATCTTTTGGGACCTCTCTCCCCATCATCCATCATGTTGATATCTCTCACATTTTCTTTATTCTTAGCTTTTAACTATTTTAGACACTATCTTTTCCAGCTTTCTTTATGTTTAGGTACCTACCTTTGCTTTTCTCTTGGCAGGTGAGGGTTCCACAAGTGAACATGTGAATCTTCTATCTTTCATTATCCCCAGGGACACTGTGGCACAGACACAGCCAGGTCAAGTCAGCCGCACCCTCATCAGGCAATTACAGGTGTTTTCTGTTGTGTTGTTTATTCACCAAATCCTTGCTCCTCTAGAGTTGTTCTCTGATAATTCCCTACCACCCCCTCATCCCTCCATCTCAGCTCCATTATCTCTGTTTTATATCTTCTTAAACGGTTCTCTAATTTTCTTTTATTTTTCTCTCCTGTTGCTAATTTATTTGTTGTTTTGTTATCCTTTCTGAGATATTTCATGGACTTTATCTCTCAACTCTTCTAAAGACTTTTTAAAAATGTTGGATGCTGTGTCAGTTATGATTACGTGTGATTGCAAATAACAAAATCACAAAATAAGAGGGACTTGATATAGCTTGTACAAAAGGAGTCAGAGGCATGCAGTTCAGGGCTG